AAGTCCAATTTCACAAATTTGACAGATCACTGGCAATCACAAAATGATTTCTGTAATGCATTTGGTGGAACTTCTGGTGATGGATCAGTATGCTTTGCTGGCGAACCTGTCTACTTAAATACAACCGCATCTCCAAATCCTCCAGGCGGTTTGTGCCTCGAGAAAATTGGAAATGGTAGTTACCTCAATATGGTTGCTCATCCTGATGGCTCTAGTCGTGCTTTCTTCTCGAATCAGCAAGGGAAAATATGGTTGGCTACCATTCCTGAAGTCGATTCAGGAAAGTTATTAGAGCTTGATGAAGCTAATCCTTTCCTGGACTTAACGGATGAAGTTCATTTTGATACTGAGCTCGGGATGATGGGGATTGCATTTCATCCAAAGTTCTCACAAAATGGAAGATTCTTTGCTTCATTTAATTGCGATAAGCAAGCATGGCCTGGATGTGGAGGAAGATGTTCTTGTAACTCAGATGTGGATTGTGATCCATCAAAATTACCTAGTGATAGTGGTTCCGAACCGTGCCAATATCAAGCTGTAATTGCAGAATTTACTGTTAGTGGGAAAGCATCTCAGCCATCAGAGGTAACTTTCGCGGTCTATCGGATTTATTTTTCTCCCTTTTTTAGCTCTGAATGATTCATAAATGAAGTTCAACTTTCCAGGCAAAAACTGCCAATCCAAAAGAAGTGAGAAGGATATTCACCATGGGCCTTCCGTTTACAGCACATCACGGGGGCCAGATTCTTTTTGGACCGACAGACGGATATTTGTACTTCATGATGGGTGATGGTGGAGGTATAGGTGATCCTTACAACTTTTCCCAGAACAAGAAGTCATTACTGGGAAAGATTATAAGGCTTGATGTTGATACCACACCTAGTAAGTGGCTTTCCATTTGCAAAAGGCTTGATTTAGCATCAAAACTTTAGTCTTTTGAGCATTGAACCTCACATGGGAAAGTGCTGAACTATCTAACATGTTAAAGTGAATTTAGATTTCAGTATTTTATTCTACTGATTTATCAGTTCCTGCCCCTTATTTTGCATCTGGTGCATATTTCCATAGGTGAAGCTGAGATGAGCAAGCTCGGTTTATGGGGAAACTACTCCATACCAAAGGATAATCCTTACACTGAAGATAAAGAGTTGCAGCCTGAAATATGGGCACTAGGAATGCGAAATCCTTGGCGCTGCAGTTTTGATTCTTCAAGACCATCTTACTTCATGTGTGCAGATGTAGGACAGGTAAAGTACAAGAAACTTTACTCTTCAAGCTTTACTTATAGGCCTTGTCCATGTTCTCTTGAAGGCGTTCCCTTTCGAGCTCCAGAATTCTGTTCATTTGCATTAACTGCAAATAATTATGATTGTCTCACAGGATAAATTTGAAGAGGTGAATATAATCAGCAAGGGTGGTAACTATGGTTGGCGAGCGTACGAGGGTCCCTATCTCTACACCCCTCAAAAATCACCAGGAGGAAATACATCTATAAGCTCAATAAACCCAATTTTGCCGGTTATGGGATACAATCATTCTGATGTGAATAAGAATGGAGGGTCAGCATCAATTACTGGTGGATATTTCTATAGGTCCTTCACTGATCCCTGCATGCATGGAAGGTGAGTCTACTTAAAGAAAGAACAAATATTGATTTGATACTTTGGATCAATATGATTTTGACAGGGAAATTTTTTGCATTCCACAAATTGATCTCACACATTTCTTTTCTTTTTCGTATTCTTCATACTTTTAAATTTTTCTTGAATGCATCCCTTTTTGGTAATACAACAACAACTATGCCTTAATCATAAGCAAGTTGGGTTCGGCCATATGGATCTCCACTACCTAAAGTCGCTCTGTTTAAGCTCATCTTAGTCCCAATATTATATAAACAAAAATAAAAAGTACTAGAAATTCTCTATATTTATTACTGCCACATAAATCTCTAGTCGGACTTGAAGACTCCTAAAAAATATTGAACATAAAGTAAACGTGCTAACATGACTAGAACTTAATCCCAACGAATTGGTATCACCT